CAGCCCCCACACCCCCCTCATCCCCCCGGGTGCAAACACACCTTCGGATTTGAGGCGGGTCAGAACGAAGATCAGGTAGTTGTTGAAGTCGGGGAATTGGTTGAGCTGCTTCAGTTTCTGTGGTGTGGGGTTAAGGATGGGAATGGGGGGGGTGGGACACAGACTGGGGCAGGAGGAGGAAGGATAAGGATTGGAACAGGATGGGGACAAATAGAAAGATGTGGGGACATGAAGGGGGCAGAGCATAAAGCAGGACAGATGGACCCAGATGGGGACAAGGGTTGATATGGGATAGGACAAGAAAAAGTATGGGGACAGCACAGAGGTGAGATGGAACAGGAATCAGGAAAGGGAGGAGACCAGAAAAAGAATGGGAGAGGTGTGGGATGGGACAAGGACAGAAATAAAGACTGGGATGGGGAAACGATGAGAGACAGATTGTGAGAGGAAAGTAATAGGAAAAGGATTGGGGTAAAGGGGAAATGGAAATGGGACAAGGAAGGGAAAGATTGGGGCAGGAAGGAAATGGGATAAGGGATTGGGATGAGATAAGGATGGGGTCAGGGATTGGGGTCAAGGATGGGGATGGGACAAGAACGGGGATGGGGAATGGGGCCAGGTATGGGATAAAGATGGGGTCAAGGATGGGGATGGGATCAGGGATTTGGGATGGGTCAAGGATGGGGTCAGGGATGGGACAAAGTTGGGGATGGGGATTGGAGCCAGGGATGGGATAAGGATGGGGTCAGGGATGGGGATGATGGGATGGGAACAGGATAAGAACAGGAACAAAACAGGAAGGGAGAGAGACCAGAGCAGACTGGGACAAGAAAGGACAAGAACGGGGTCAGGGACAGGAAGAGATGGAGCAGAATGGGGACCACCACCCACCTCAACCCCCCCAAACGCTCCCCTTTCACCCCCCCCCCCCAGCTGACCCCACTGCAGCCCCACAGATGCACGGATACATCCTGCACGACGCGCTGCGTGGCCGTGTTGGGGGACTGCGAGTCCTTCAGCAGCTGCAGCACCTGCTGCAATCCCTGCTCAT